TTTATAATATCATGAAAATATTTGAAAAGTATATTGTTTCTATGTAGGGTTTATATGGAATAACTTGTATTTAGTTAATAATTTAATATTGCCTTCTGTTGTTTCACATAATTTCTCTGCCGCAAAAAATTTGCCTGTAATTGTTCTGCCTGATATATGTGGATGCTAATCCAACATCTACTGAAGTAAGATGCAGTCCTTCATCTGGGACCTGACTGGAACCAAACGTTCTGTGAGCCTCACCATCCTTCCACTGGTAGGTAATAGCTGTTAAAATGTACATAACTCTATTTTCAGAACTTTCTCATTTTTGGATACGTAACTGTGCAAATGTACCTTTTTAACATGACAAACACGTCTTTGTTTTTGGGCATGTGCACAGACTAGGGTTTGTCAGCCCATCCATAAGTGACCAAGAATCTTTCAATGGAATAATAGTCTGTCTCTAATTTAAAAACAAACAAACAAACAAAACAATTCACAAGTACCACCAATATTTTTGTGAATAGGAATTGGTGACTCTGGCTGGGTGAGAAGCTACACAAGCATTACAATCATTTTTTGAGTGAATCAAATATGATAGCAAGCATAGTGCAGATCATTGTGGGCCTTTTCAGCTGTCATCAGAGCTCTGTATATCTCAGGTTCAGTAGAGCTGTGACTGGAGGAGACCAAAGGACATGATGACTTTCCTTGCGGGGAAAAATTGATTTTGACATTAGTGACAAAGACTTGCATCTTTGCTTATTCTAGCTACCTTTGAGAGCTTGGACAAAAAAGTCAATGGCAATATAATTTGCCTTCAAGCAGTCATGTCACCGCAGATTAGGAAGACCTACACAGTACGCAGCAAAATTAGCTTCAAGATTCAAATTTGTAGTTTCAGGCCAGCACTTGATACAGAACTGTCTGTTGCAAAGGGATGTAAATCATGCTGCTTTATTTTCCAGATGACTAATGTTCTCTTCTTCAAAATATGTATATTATGGACATTTTTGTATTTTTACATCAAAAGGTAGTTACAGAAACTGTATGTTTATCATCTATTTGAAATTATCTTATAGGAAGGGCAAAACTAAATAACATCACAGGTATATGTTAGGAAACTTGTCATCAGACTGAGTGAATTTTGACTGAAGCCGCAATAAGGCAGACAGTACCCACTGAGTATTTTCAGAAAAGAATACCTACTTTCAGTATACAGAAATTCACATTATACAGCCACCGCAGAAAGTAATGGACCCTAGTTTAGCTATAGCCTCTGCTCCCCGCACCCCCCACCCCCGGTGCCTTTTAAAGAAGCAAACGTCAGGAAGGGAATAGCTTGAGAATCCAAAGTTGGTTGAAGTGCATAGCCGACATCGAGAGCAGGGTTTGGTCATTTTGTGTGAGATTAGACAGGACTTCTTGCTCAGCATGCTGCCTTCTTGACTCAGTGCCTGACCACTGTCAGGTGCTGTACAGTGAACTTTTGAGTTATCCAGGGTCCTGTGAATCACACTCTGATTTCCAGTGGGTAGCAAGGAGCCTAAAACAGGCTCCCGGTTTGCATCTGGAATTTCCTGGATATAGTTATGTATGTAATACTGAGCCGGGAACATGAACTTTATTTACTGCGTGTACTGCAGCTCATCTGTTTACATACAATAAAGCCACTGAAGCCCGAAGACAGTGCCTGTATTCGGTTCCCACTGCCCACCTTTTGCGTGCAGGCATTATCCTCATTGTATCTTGGATATCTGGACATCACACAGCTTGGCCAGAGCTACTGTCTCATGTCCAGCGTTCCAGTCAAATGTTTCAAGTTCCCAAATTCCACCTGTACAACATTTCTGGATGGAAAAATGAGTACGCTTTTCAGAAAAACTTGGATATAGGATAGTTCCAATGCAAAAGTGAGAACTGCAGTGCCTACAACCCTTTGTGGATTCAGCCCATCATGGGTAAGATTTCAATGCTGAAGTTGAAGACATTATGAAAACAATATAATAAATATTCCTCAGTTTGCAGAAAGCAGCATCGTTAGCTGAGCATATATTTTCATGTAGTATCTAAGCTATTTAACTCATGCCGAGTTAGAGAGCTAGTTAAGAGCCTTACATTACAGATCTCTCTTTTGTGATGTGTTTCATTGCAATCAGATAGAGTTGTGAATATGTACATATTGTAAAAATTTGGTTACCCTTTAATCTCCTGTTAAAAATTTACTAATTGCTTGATCTGCTCAGTTTGTAACGATTGCCTCCTTACCAGCATTTTCTGATTTTTGGTCTCCTTAGGGAAAGCAGGTGCTGTTGGTACTAAGTTTTTTTGTCCACAAGAAATCATCCCAGAAACCTTGTTTATGAAACTAACATCTGGAATATGGCGGTGAGGATTCACATTTAAGGGTGGAAGGAAACCTGGTCTGGTTTGAGCAATATGATCCAACAATAAGGCTCCTGAACCCCGTCTTTCTAGAAAAGCTTGATTTCTTCTGCTCAGAGGAACAGGTGGCATGTTCTCTACTAATTCCCTAGAACTTGATAACAAAGAGGGAGATGGGGAAAGAATCTTTTTCTTTCCTATCACTGACTTAATATCTTCTGCAGTTGCAGGACCCGGACTAGTAGTTAACTGAGAATCAGAGCTGTAGTGATTTGCTCCTAAATTTCTTTTCTGGATAATACTTCTCAGGGTTGAAATGAAGTTGATTTGTCCCAAATCCGAATCTTCACCCACAGAAGTCCCACTGGGGTTCTGTTTCCCTTCAGCATAAAGAGTCTGAGAATTTATTTCATCATATGATAATTTCCTTGATCCAGTTTGATTGAAAGTTTTCCATAAGTGAGCAGTATCTTTTATGTCAATACTTTGGTGTCTGGTGATAAATCTCTTTGATAGGGCAAGGCCATTGATTTTAAAAGAGAGTTCTTCTTCTGGGGTTATATCCTGAAGTTGTTCTTGTAAAGAGGCAACTTTGTTCTGGGGAAACACTGAAGGACAGCTCTTTAACCAAGGTTCAGACTGTAGCCGCTGTGCTTGTGCCAGCTTGGATCCTACATTTGTTAAATGGGATTTCCTAGTAGGTGAAACTGGTTCACATGAGTTGTCTGTGCTTCTTGGATGATCCAGCTCTTTAAAGCTGAAAAGTGCTTTTTTGGTTTCATTTGAACTTGAGAGTGGGGATGGAGATGTTTTCAGTTCTATTTCTGATGGGGAAGTGCAAGCACTTGGGGAACAGCATTCCTCAGAGTCAGCAGGAGGGACATTTAAGTACTGTTTAGTTGTCTGCTTTCCAGATGGAGACTTGTCTGTGGTGATGATGATTACTTCTTTTCCTCTTGCTCTGCAGGCATTAAGAAGAACTTTCAGGGTCTCTTTGTCTTCAGAGTTTATTGCGTACACAAGTGCAGAGCAGTTAGAGTGATCTTGTAGGCTTGGGTCAGCTCCGCTTTTCAGTAGCAGAGAAATCACTTCAGGGCCTGCTTTTTCTAAGCAAGCATGCATCAAGGCTGTCTTTCCAGATTTGTCCTGTATGTTTGGATCTGCCTTGTTTTCCAGTAGATATTTAACCATTTTTGCCTTGCTGACACTCTGGGAGTCCACATGTTTTGTCCTACAAGCAATCATTAACGGGGTTTCACCTCTGTCATTGCTTTCATTAATGTAGGCTCCACCCTCTAGTAACAGTCTGGTGAGACGAAGGCGGCTTTGATAGACAGCTCTTATGAGAGAATTCCCATCCGTTGGCAACTCCACAGTTTCAGTCATTGCACTTGTCTCTCACTTAGACCTTCCTAGCTGCTGAAAAGAACACCTGGCCAATGAAACAAACAAACAAAAGATATTTCTCCTGTACATTCCCCAGTACTTTGTGAAGGGTATGCAGATGCGGCAGGGGGAAGCCGTTCGCACCTCCCAGACCTCAAGAAATGCATTAAAGATTTAAAATAATACTTGAATATAATTATATTCTTATTATAACATTTACAGGTGCTTAAAGCATAGCAGTTTTCTTTCTTTTGACTGCTTAGGCCTTCCATCGTACTCTGCCAAATCGGCACTCTGAACGTTGTAATGGCTTTATACTGACTGCACCCAAGTGGCGCCACTGCAGTTGCGCTACTCATGATTTGTATCAGGTGAACAGAATGAATACTGCAGTATTTTTTTTCATTGATGTTAGATACTGTGACACATTCACTCATTCTCTTTCATAAAATGAGAAGGCAAAACATCTAGGAATTAATGAGGAAAAAACAAATTCCTGGGCATAATAAATAAGAAAAGGAAATGTGGTAAAATACTTCTTATATAAGAAGTTAACTGTTAAAATAGTGGGGCAATACATATTAATGCCCGATATAAAAGTAGTAATATTTGTGGAAGTATACTACCTTCCTTATGCTGCTTTGAAAACCTACCAGTCAGACTGAAACAGCATAAATGAAGCGATACACAGCCTATCCCACTCATCGTAGAGATCGGGGGCTGAGAAGAGTCCGGTACCTGGACACATATATCAGCTCTAAAAGAAAAGAAACGTTTGATAGGATCAAAGGAAAAATAAGGTTTCACATGAAAAATCCAGAGCTTAATGTGGTATAAAATAATGAAAGGTCTTGCATGAATGTACCCATGCATAGATGCTATTAATAAAGTTACTTTTATTTCTGATTTAAAAAGTACTGATTAAAAATCAGTATTTAACAGCTGTCAGAGCAGTAATTCCAATACAAGATTAGCCATGAGTATGAAAAGTGCAAGTCTGCTGTATGTTCCTAGGGACATAAAAACGTGGAATTAGTTTAACTGCAATTGAAATGAACAAGAGACTAATTTTTATTTACCACTGCAAACATTAGTAATGTTCTGGTACATAACTGAATAGTAATAGTTTCATTCTTTTTGTCTTTGATATTGGAGTTTTACTTTGAATTCCAGAATCAGAGGATGATGTCACTGTAGTTTGTTCCAAAAGTCCAACAAACAAAAAAGTCAGTCAAAATACACATGTGAAATTTTTATCACAGGGTTTTTTCCCCTCAGTTTATTTCATTCCATAACAGAACGCTCTGCAGCTACAAGTGCTTTGCTTTTATTAAGCAGTGACATTCAGAAATTTATCAGACACAAGGAGAACAGTTAGTTAGAAGGCTTCATACTTGTATTAATAAAACATTGAATGTTGATTCAATATACATTAATAATAAAACATTGGATAAAACGTTGAATAAAATGTTGATTCCGTATAGGCATTATTTGGTGACATGGTGTAACAATGGTCATAGGTAGCATGTGTTTGGATAAGATACCTTGCAGTATTTGGAATAGCAAGAAAAAACAAGAAACAAACCCATGAGACAAACGGTTTCACCTTTGATGTCATTTATTTCTGGGCTCACAGCCCTCACAAAGACTGTTCATTACATATGTATGACTGAAGTGCTCTTCCAAGAAATTAAGGGGAATGAAAGAGGGCCAGAACTATTCTGTCTGTCCTGATGAGAATAAACATCCACTTGTGATCACAGGTAAGAGTGGGGACACCACTGTGGTACTATCATCTTCTTTTGTTCAGTTGATTTTCTTTATTCTGTCTCGATAAAACATTTTTAAAAAGTAATTGCACTCAAATTGCTTCAAGGATTCATTCTATTGTATTGAAAGTATATGATTCGGTATTTTCTATTGCAGCTTTCATTGATGTGCAAATCATTATTATGAAATGCATATTTTTGACAAGTAACATTCAAGATTATTATCAAGTCTTTTATAAAAAGTATCCAATTAAATAGTACAGTTAGGTCTTCAGAAACAAATTGAACAAATACCTTTTGATAGCACATATGCTGGAATTTTGATTATATTCTCCCTTATTTTTGACACATCTGGAAGTCATAGCTGATTTTACGTCTCTTTCATCTTTATCTAAAACTCAGTTTTTAACTGCTTGCTCTATTTTACTGATGGTTTGTAGAACTTATACAAGCCTTTTCATCTGTAGAAATAACTTTTTTGGTTAAAAGCACATTAAATATTAAGTAGGTACAGAAATAGAAGAACGTTGCTCAAAGTCACAGAGCAGGTACATGCTAGAAGTAGGAATGAGGCTGTTTTCCTGGTGTCTGATCTTATGCCTCTCTCTGCTTAAATTTATGATCTCTCTCGAGTTCATCTGGCTATTCACATGACTAAGGATAGAAGAAGGCTAGTCTCAGCCAGCAGTTCGTGTTAGGCTGTCTGGAGTAGATTTTGGGTTTGGGAGACCCAGTTCTGCCATAAACTTCCTGCAAGGTCATTTAAGGCCCCTTTTCTAAATACATTGTAATACCTTAATGAAACTGAGATCAGTGAAAGTTAGAATTAAGGATCTAAGCCTTGTTACATAAGATTGCTGTGGGGAAAAAAAAAAAGCAAAAAGGCTGAGGTGCTTACACAGTTTTGATGGGTATGACAAATGCCTAAATACAGAGAGTATGTAGAACATAGTATTGGAAGGGAAATCCTTTATCAGTAACTGCTTTTCCCCCACTGTTGAAGGTAGGTATCTACCTATATACATACACAGTCCCAGCTATAAACTAGGCAAGGTTCATCTTTAAACATTTCTGCCTTCATAGAGGAGAAGAGGGGACTACAGGACAGGCAGCATGCGTTTCCAGGATGCTGTATGAGCTTGGGCTGCAGAAAGCCCGTGATGCTGTTGTATAGGCAAGTCAGCAGTTTCAGTGTGCCTGAGCCCCCCAGGGGTTTGTAGGTACTACTAAATTCATTTCAGAAGCCCTCTCTGATAGGCCAAATTGATGATCTTATCCACAAGTCAGGACTGTCAGATCTGTAAGGTAGGCTGGCTCATCCCTGAATGAAGGAGCATAGGCACAAGGGCTGCCAAGATCCAGGCACATTATTTCTAGGTTGATCTACGCTTTGCACCGCAAAGGAAGTGGAAGGGAAGGGTGGCAGGGAAAGTGGAGCAGGAAATGTAAACCTTGATCCAGGGAAATAAAAATGCCCAAGTACTTTAGAATCAGCTTCAACCTTATGAAAAAAAAAAAAAAAAAAAAGGTAAAACAAAAGTAATTGGACAAATATAATGTAGAATACATTCCGGAAAGCTGGATGAAGATAACTATGATTTGATATAGAGAATCTGTTTGACAAAGATGTGCTTAGGGTTATGTTGTCCTAAAATTGCCACTGCAGGAACAAAGGGTGGTGGGACTTCCATGAGATCCCCACTGACACAGGCTCAACCGGAATATACATTCCCCAGCTGGGCTGGATATACCCTGCACCAAAAAAAAATACTCCTAACTTTTTTTTTTTTTTTTTTTTGAAGTGAAAGACCACAGTTCAAGAAGATTCTCCAAAATACTAATTTATTTGATTATTCATCATGGATTGATGCTAAACAGATTAGGATTATAAAATATTCCTAAACCTAATTAACTGCAATGTTAGGAACAACTACTTGTGTTTGTGAAATGTCAGGGGTGACACAGCTGCTTTTCAGCTGTGGAAGTATACTTGTATATACAGACTGCTGTGTGACCTAGTTAATGATAACCAACCACAAATGGGTCTTTCAGATTATCCACAAATTTCTGGTGTTCTTGCACTAATATTATTCCAGGAATGCTATTGCTTTCTAGCATTTTGTATTCAGAAAATAAAATTGTTCTGGAAACCGATCTGTGATGAAGTAGCACAAAGCACCTTGTAATATGAAAAACAACTGATTTTTGGAGCCAATGACAAGTTTGTTTCCAAGGAGGAGACAGACAGACACTATTTGTGTATTTGTTCCGGATCCTATCCTGAGGTCAGGCTGGCAAACGTAAGACAGTGATAACCCAGGGTCCTATTCTGATACAGGGTTTACTGCCATCATAGCGGGAAAAGCCACTAAAACTGAAGTTTTACCACTTTTTCTGCAACCCTTGCTTGCTAATTTGTAAACAGTACTTAATTACTAAGAGAAACTCTTAAAATGTTTCATTATGTGTAACAGTGAAAATCAGCACAAAATTGAGGGGGAAAAAAGCTCATTGCTCTTACCACGTATAAACAAACACATACACAAACAACATTTTCGGAGCGCTATGAATCAATGTTCCTGCAAGGCACTTGTCTTTTCACAGTTCAAGACAAGTTTTCTGCCCTCTGTGCCTCAGCACTCTACAAAATATGCAAACAAGCTCTTTCACAGTAATGTTTAGGGAGTCCAGAATCATTCCACTAAAATTAAGTCACCAATTCTCATCTCTCTGAAAAAGAGATACTTAACACAGTTAAAGAACATAAACCTTCACATATTTTTGCGATTTTCAAGACCGCTTTAACCCTGTAAATTCCCATGGTCAGTATAACAAGAACTCCAATTTCCTAATTTTGTTTAAAAACTTGCCATTGTATCACAGCCAAAACTCTTCTTTTTTCAAGGAGCTGCCAGAGTCAGGTCCTGTTTCAGAATCCTAGCCTGTAACATGCAACTTTTCATAGCGATGCCTCTGTCTCTTCAGCCTTGCTGGTTTCCAAGGTTAATTGCAGGATGGTCAGGATTTTCTGTATGCTTCTAATCAGTCTTGTTTACAGTGTCCTGTGTGCTTTTGAAGAAAACTTGGAGACGTCCAACCAGCTTATTCGGTAACTTTTCCTGTCACAGTATTTAACATCTCCCCCAGTATTCTCTCTCATCTGGAGGGGTTTTCTATAAAAACAGTTACCATCAGAGAGTGGTCAAAGCATGGTGGGGAAAAAGGAAAAGATAAAATCAGTAGCGGGGGGGGGGGGGGGGTCTGCGCTCAGATGACTGTTGTGGCTCGCGCTCATCTCACAGCATCCTGCCTACACAGTAACCTAGTGTAACACTCTGATGTTTTTGCTGAGGGAGATTTGGGGAAACGGGGACAAGAGATTTCTCTACAGAGGTCTACAGAGAATACACCTGAAAAATACAAATGGAGGCTAGAACAATAAGCATGTTAAAAGCTCTACTATTAAAAATTCATTGAGAGGGAGAGTGACCAGTATTTGCTCAGCGTCTTGGAAGAGCCTAACTTTCCAAGAAAAACATCCCACGTACAGGCTGAATTCCATCCTCTTTAATCCCAGTAACCTTTAGACACCGACAGCTGCGAGCGCAGCTAACAAGGCAAGGCAGAACACGTCCGGTCTGAACCCCTGCCTCGGCGTTTTGGCCGCACTTTCTGTAAATATGCTATCCTTCCTATTCTGAAATAAAACATAAATGCGACACAGCCTCGAACCACACGGAATACCAAGCACAGGTCTCATCTGCGATTGCGAGAAAGGAGTTTTTACTTGTTACTACCTCAGCTTCTCCTCCTGCTGCGTTACCTCCTACTAGGAGAGGAGCGATGCACCTGCAGCTTCTCCACGAGGACTAACGCAGCCCGCTCTCCTCCGCAGCAGCTTGCCCAGGGGCACGACCTGCTGCTACCCTGAACAGCGTTCCCAGGCTTCGTTACTTGAGCCAACAAAACCCCAGACAAAGAGGTGGAAGTTCAGCCCGCTTCCATAAACTGACCTGCTCCCGCTACAGGCTGTCGGCACGTACCGGCACGCTCACCTCGCCAGCG